TCCTCAAGAATTCAGAATTCACAAAAACTGGCCACTGATGATAATTTAGCAATATGCTTTAAGTTCATAGCTATGTCTGCCACGACTTGCGAAGGCGGAGAACATTGATAAGATGTCTGTCATTGTCTATCACGGTAGTCAGTAAGTAGGGACATGATAGTCTCGGGTGTGAGTGGGTGTGGGTGTGGGTGTGAGTGTGGGTGGTGTTGACACTGTTTAACCACACCCACACTCCACCTTGAATCATTGGTTAAAACAAAATCGAGAGTATTTAAGTTATTTGTTTTTATAAAATAGTTTTGTTTTTCGACGCTCATGATATGGGGGTTCGAATGATTGGTGAAATGTTTAGTGTTAGCAATTTCGTTGTTAAAAACTTGTAATTGAATGATTTGTGTTATTAAGAATAGCAGCTGATCTGTTTTTCGATTGATTGAGTAATAATTGAACTATAAATGGATTGTTGATTATCTGTTCGATATACTTATTATGAAAAAGTTTATCAATGTCGGATTGTAGTTTAGAATGAGGAATGCTCATTTTTTTTGTGAGAGATTCACATGAAAAAAATATATAATTTATGTAATTAAAAGCAAACAGACATAGAATGTGTTTCTTGATTGGATTTTCCATAGCAACGAATATCTATCAATTTATTATAAGGAAACGAATAGAATTCTTATAGTCACTAAATAAGAATGGTTAAAAATGAAAATTTTTTATATTTAAATATTTTAAAATAATTGAAAATAAATCATAGAAGCTCAATCAATCATTTAGAATCGCTAAAATTACAAAAATTGAATACAATAGTAAACAAACATTAATTATCATGTAACTCATACATGTATTTCAAACTCAAATAAATTCTCATGTCAACTGTGGCATATATCTGCAATAAATTCACTAATTTGGAAAACTCGTATTTTGCATTGGAGCTCGAAAAGATCGATATCTAATCTAGAAGTCTAAATCTAACAATCCCTGAAAATGAGCAGTAAGTTCTTTTGCCGAATTCAATTTGAAATGAAAAACGATCATAGACTCATTAACTTACCCATCAGAAGTAAGAAAGACGTGTTCAGAAGTGAAGAACGGTGGAAAATCGTTGATACCGTACAAATATCGACCTTCGAGCTGTTCGACGTCAAGGAACATCACAACATGAGGCTGATTACTAGCGCCCATGACAATATCACCAACTTGAATTTTTTCAATTGACTTGTCAGTACCGTCAGCCATACGTACCAAGGTTCCAGCCATAAAACACTAGATATGATCAAGAAAAACATTTGATTAGTATTTAATAGTATAGGGACCCGCAATTTCTTCTCCTCCGGTTTATATAGAAGTGATGAATCCATGACTGTTCCTCTTGGGTATCATCGGGTAGGGCTCGACTTGGATCCGATTAGGTGTGCATCTGAAATTTTATATTGATTGAATTCAGATCCAGGTTTTTGTTCAAAAAATTGCACCGAGGAACTCTAATATGAACAATCTAAGGTATGCCAGTCGTCGAATAGAAATAATAGAGGAATACTATCCCGAATGTTCGAAGTTACTTTCGAGAAAAAAATCTGTTGAAGTTGTTATCAGATGAGTCTACATCCGAAAAATTTCTTTAAACTGGATTCAGGTGTCGATCCGAGTCCTAGAAATTTCAATACGCCGGGTCTCAGCAAGCTTAATTCGTTGGGTTGAGCTTCGAATCTGACGAACTTCAATAGATCGAGTCGAGGTTCGGATCTCACAATTTTGGACTTAACGATCTCTAGTTAGTCTCCGAACGATACTCCCGCGGTATTTACTGACCAGATAGTTGCTCCCCAATATTTTCTGTATCGATTCAATACATGCCATATCCTATTCATCACAAACCAACTGGAAACATAATCAAACTAAACCTAGATATTGCGCTTATCCTCATCGTCAATATCGCGGAAGTAACTGTCTGGGGTGAAATAGTCCGCCGGGTCCGACCCAGACCCGCTCGGATTCGGGTCTTGAAAATTTCGGTTGACTGTGTCCGAATCTGGATTTAGATGTTTTTGATGCTGAAATTCGGGGTTCGGACCCAGTTCCAGAAATTCTTAGACTCGATGGGCTCTAGTTGCCAGAAGTGACGTGTATACTTTTATACAAGAAAACATTACTTTTTTGATTTCTAAATTAAACTGAATGTAATGCAGCTATCCTGTTTCGAATCGTACTAGTCTTTCCAGATACCTAATTGTGAAACAAATAAATAGAAACTCACTTAACAACTCAAACTCAAATTTAGTCAATTAATAGAAAAACGTCTTCTAAAGTTTCATTTTGCATAATAAACACATACACTTGGCCGTCTCGACTGCTCGATGACAGTTGGTGGGCGACTTTGAATTTCTACCATTTTGTTCATTAATGCAAGTTGTGCTTGATTTGAAGCCTCTAAGGCTCTTTGCATAGCTTGTGCTTCTGCTTTGGTTTTAGTCGCCATTTCGTCTCTAAGTCGCTGGTGCTCCTGCTGCATTGTTTCCAATTGTTGTTGCATCTGCTGGACTTGTGCTTCTTGACTCTGGCGCATTTCTTTAGCTTCCTCAGCCTGCCGTTCAATAATACGATGATAACTCTCCGTCTCAGCCTTCTGATGCGTAATAAGATCATCATAACGTTTTTGTTGTTGACGAATTTCATCTTCAAAATGAACCTTGTTTGCATTAAACTCTTTGGCCATTTCTTCGATCTGTTTTTTCAACATAGCAACTTCCTCAACATTTAAATGGATATCATGCGCTTTGACATGTTCAGTTGGCGATAACTCGACAATAAAACTTAATAATTGTTTTCTTAGTGCTTGTCGTTCGTTCGAATTTTCTCGATCGATGTGATTTAAAAAGCACACTCTCTCTGCCGCAATTGGCACTTGAATAATATCTTGTAACATGAGCATTACTTCACCTTCATAGTTCTTTGGTCGAGTTGCTGGAAGACCATTGACTACTAATAAGAGTGACTCGATATTCAATGGATATGCGGCATTAATGGCATTGAATGCAACCACATCTTCATCACGAATACGACCGTTTTGCTGTCCAAAAACATATATAATAAGCGAGTTTGGTCGTTGAGTGAATGCTTGATCGATTTCACGTTTATTGATGTCAACACGAGTCTGAAAAATAAAACAAGAATATCGACATGGAATCAATGACATCTCATTGGTATTTATTACTTGATCAGCTTCAATTAAACCTGGAATATTAAAAATAGCATAATGATGATCATCAAAAGTAATTTCCTGAAACTCGGTGCGATGAGTAACAGATCTAGCAGAGAATTCATGTTTGAATATTTCTCTGTCGAGTAGAATATTAGCTAGGAAACTTTTTCCAACACCACTATTTCCAAGAATAATCAAACCAAATTGATTTTTATTGTTTCTGGCCATATCAACGCTTTAATAGTCGAGACTGTCACGCGTTTTCGCTATTCAATGAATCAACGTCGTTTATTATTGTTTCTATCTGTTGTTTCTGCTCTTGTCGAAATAAATGATATCATAAGAATCACTCTAGTTAAAGATAAGAGAACATAAAAAGGACAAAACCGACTATTCTCCAGTATTTTTTTGGCTTCTTACTATGCAATATTTTGTCAAGATAAGAGAAACATTATAT